GAGATGCCATTGTTACAAATTTCTGGTCATTGAATACTGATGGATCCTGTGGATCCAGAACTATGAATTCTCATCAAGAATAATAAACATGCATGACAGCCCTCCAACATGAGAGAGACAACTTTGAAGGACTCATTGATGAGGGACTTCTGATAAGTTTTATTACTTTGATAGACAATAGCAGATTTACCAATGGGCCACACAGGAGAAAATTCATATTATGAGAGTCTCAAAATAAAACATCATATTCAATTTCCTAAATTACATCATTGCTATAACGATACACCATTTTTTGTTCTGTTTTGTTTTGGGTGCAATGGTAACCTGACATGTAAAAGTAGAGATCCCTAAACTAAGATCCGGGACTCAGATCCAGCCTCCAAGGTCATTTACTTGGCCTTCGCCCTAGACTTTAGATTTAGGGTTGCCCTAAGTCTGAAACAAGACACACAGCAACACTCCTAATTAACGACTATTTCATCAGTCTTTCTGCAGACCCACACTTCTAATTGAAATAGTGGTAAATTTATGTTGGTTAAAAAATTGTTCTTCATTTTAAATATTGTATTTTTTTTCACAACAAATAAGACAGGTGCAGTGTGCATAGCAATTCATTCATGGGTCTTTTTTCAATAGTCAGAAGAACTGTGAACTGGCTCAGTGTTTAAAAACTGGTTCTCTGTTTGAGGACCCCTGGATAAAAGAAACTCTTGTTTTAATCGAGTTGCTCCAGATTACTTAGTCTAAAGATCATTTCCCCCTCATTATAAGGCCTGAACACTTTTTCAACAATGTTGTAATGTTTTCTGGATCTTTTTTTCAGGTACAGGGACTTTAGTAAAAAAGGTAAATTCACATCTTTGTAATTGTCAGTTCGAAGCAGTCCAATTGCTTGCACAGGAAAAAATAGACTGAATTCATGGTTCAGAAATTCAGCAAGCCAACACGTGGATGATGGGCATTGAAAAGATAGTAGAAAAAACACAACCATAAATAACTCTGAAGGCTGGGATCTCAGAAGACAATAATAGAAAAAAAAACACACTTTCAAAGGCCATGCTAAAAACATGCAAAAAAAGTTCCTTGGAAGAACAGAATAAAATTGGCAAGAAAAAAACTTGGTTGTGGCTCACAAATGGAACTTTGAAAAAGGAGACGGCGGTCTTGATTCTTGCAGCCCAAGAACAAGCAATTAGAACCAATGCCATCAAGGTCAGAATTGAAAAGTCAATGACAATATCCAAGTGTAGACATTGCAAGGAAGCAAGATGAAATGATGTATCACATACTCAACTGCTGCAAGAAAATTGTGCAGGTGGACTACAAGCAGAGGCATAACACCAGCGACCATGAGGTCAGGACCACAATACTCCTGACCTCATGGTTGCTGAAAAAAAGTATGGATAGTTGATGTTACAATCCCAGATGACAGCAGGATTGAAGAGAAACAACTGGAAACGATATGAAGATAGAACTGTAAAGATTCTGGCACAAGCCAGTAAAGGTGTTCCCAGCAATGATGGGCACACTAGGTGCAGTGCCTAAAGACCTTGGCCTGCATTTAAAAATAATCAGTGCTGACAAAAATTACCACCCTACTGGGATCTTCACAGATTATTCACCGATACATCACACAGGCCTAGAGACTTGGGAAGTGTGATCAAATACAAAAGCCAGCTTAGTGATCCTGTTTGCTGTTTACTAATTTTGTTATGTATCTAATACTAATACTACTACTACTAATAATAATAATAATAATGATAATAATAATAATTTTATTTATTTATTTATTTATTATTCAAACTTATATGCCGCCACTCCCCTGGGGCTCAGAGCAGCTTACAAGAACAGGCTAAAATCTAACACAATTTAAAAACAGTAGGTTCTTGTGGGTTTTTTCGGGCTATAGAGCCATGTTCTAGAGGCATTTCTCCTGACGTTTCGCCTGCATCTATGGCAAGCATCCTCAGAGGTGTGAGGTCTGTTGGAATTAGGACAATGGGTTTATATATCTGTGGAATGGCTGGGGTGGGGCAAGGAGCTCTTCCCTGCTGCAGTTAGGTGTGAAGGTTTAGCTGATCACCTTCATTAGCATTTGAAGGCCTGCCTGAGTCTGGGAAAATCTGTTGCTGGGAGGTGTTAATCTGTGCCTGGTTTTTTCCTCTCTGTTTTTTAGCTGTTATAATTTTAGAGTTTTTTAATACTGGTAGCCAGATTTTGTTCATTTTCATGGTTTCTTCCTTTCTGTTGAAATTGTCCACATGCTTGTTGATTTCAATGGCTTCTCTGTGTAGTCTGACATGGTGGTTGTGGTGGTCCAGCATTTCTGTGTTCTCAAATAATATGCTGTGTCCAGGCTGGTTCATCAGGTGCTCTGCTATGGCTGACTTCTCTGGTTGAAGTAGTCTGCAGTGCCTTTCATGTTCCTTGATTCGTGTTTGGGCGCTGCGTTTGGTGGTCCCTATGTAGAGAAGTCAGCCATAGCAGAGCACCTGATGAACCAGCCGGGACACAGCATATTATTTGAGAACACAGAAATGCTGGACCACACCAACAACCACCATGTCAGACTACACAGAGAAGCCATTGAAATCCACAAGCATGTGGACAATTTCAACAGAAAGGAAGAGACCATGAAAATGAACAAAATCTGGCTACCAGTATTAAAAAAACTCTAAAATTATAACAGCTAAACAACAGAGAGGAAAAAACCAGGCACAGATTAACACCTCCCAGCAACAGATATTCCCAGGCTCAGGCAGGCCTTCAAATGCTAATGAAGGTGATCAGCTAAACATTCACACCTAACTGCAGCAGGGAAGAGCTCCTTGCCCCACCCCAGCCGATTCCACAGATATATAAACCCATTTTTCCTACTTCCAACAGACCTCACACCTCTGAGGATGCTTGCCATAGATGCAGGCGAAACGTCAGGAGAAATGCCTCTAGAACATGGCTCTATAGCCCGAAAAAACCCACAAGAACCTAGTGATTCCAGCCATGAAAGCCTTCGACAATACAATTAAAAACAATTTAAAACAATTTAAAAACAGCAATATCAAAGATCAAAGGCCTGTCGAAACAGATATGTCTTACATGCCCTGCGGAAAGCTGATAAGTCCCACAAGGCACGGACTTCAGGTGGCAGAGTATTCCAGAGTGATGGTGCCACTGCTGTAAAGGCTTTGCGTCTGGTTGCTGTTAGACGCAAGGTCTTGACACTTGGGAATTTCCAATAAATCTTGGTCCTCAGAATGGAGGGATCTCTGGGGTTGGTAGGGGGTGAGGTGGTCGCTCAGGTACATCGGCCCCAGACCATGCAAGGCCTTAAAGGTGAGTACCATCACTTTGACTGAATTCATGAATTTGGCCGGAATCACTGGGTTGTTGTAGGTTTTTCTGGTCATATGACCATGTTCTAGAAGCATTCTCTCCTGATGTTTCGCCTGCATCTGGGGCAAGTAACTTCAGAGGTTGTGAGGATGCTTGCCACAGATGCAGGCAAAATGTCAGGAGAGAATACTTCTAGAACATGACCAGAAAAATGTACAACAACCCAATAATAATAATATTTATTTATTTATTTATTTAGAACTTTAATAACCCGGTCTTCTCGACCTCCGAAGAGGGATTCAGGCCGGTTCACAACAAAATATTCATAAACATGACATCTCATAATATACTAATACATAAAATACATTAAAATACAAACATATAATTATATAAGGCCAAATCGTCAGAATGAAATCACAATTTATCACCATCCGTCTGTGTGGTCAAGAGTTATTGACTCACTCATCAAATGCTAAATTCCAAAGCCAAGTTTTCACCAGTTTTAAATTTTAAAATATTAATAATAATATTTTAAAATTGAACAGATTTAATCCTTCATGACACAGTTGAAAGCATTATGAAATAAAGACCAAACAATATTTCCCCAAACCCAAAACTATGCTCTGTGGCAAGAGTGAGCAAAGTGCAATCTGCTGGACTGCAATTCCCAGTACTTATTAGTTAATGCTGGCAGTGGTAAAAAGTAGCAGAAGATGCAGTCTAACCTGAAGTGAATACCTGGCCCATCTGTTCTGTCCCTAAATAAGCAACAGAGATATTCATATTCTGTGGTTCTTTTTTCTAAATGAGAAATGACAAGTTTGGTTGTGATGTTAGGCAGAGTAAGGCTATATTTGATAGCAGGTTTTAGATGTCTTGGACCACAGAAAATAATACTTTTATTGAAAACATTTCTTTGCTGTATTGTGCAGATGATAAGAAGGAGCAAAGAAAAAGGCGGAAGAATGAAGAATTTACTTAAAGGAATTGAAGAAGAAGAAGAAAGTAAATTAAAAGTTAACCCAATGGACAAGGAGGCAAAACAAAGATTAGAACATCTACATAAACAGAGAGAATTTTTGGAAGCAGAGGACAGGGAAAAGGAGTTAAAATACATAAGACAGAATTACTTTATGAATGCGAATAAACCTGGACGATGGCTCGCGAACAAAATAAGAAAAAGAAAGGAGACAACATACATTATGAAATTGAAAGATAAGGAAAGGTCCATAACTCAAGAAGAGGAGATAAGAGAACAGTTCTTTGAATTTTATAAGAAATTGTACCAGGAGGAGAATATAGAAGAAGAGGAGATTTACCAGTATTTAACCAATCATAAGATCCAAAGGATCTCAGAAAAACAAAGGGAAAGCTTAAATAAAGAAATCTCAGAGAAAGAAATTAGAGAAGCAATAAACAAATTGAAACCAAACAAAGCTCCGGGACTGGATGGAATATTGGCAATCTACTATAAGATCTTCCAACAGGAACTATCACCCTATCTAAAAGAAATGATGAACAGAATAAGAATTTATAAGGAAATCCCAGAATCATGGAAGCAAGCGAACATCTGCTTGATACACAAAGAAAACTCAGATGAAGAACAAGTAAAGAACTACAGACCAATCTCGTTGTTGAATGTAGATTACAAGATCTTCAGTTTGATAATGGCAGAAAGATTTAAATGGGTACTTAATGAATACATAAAGGAAGAACAGGTGGGCTTTCTGCCTAACAGGCACCAAAACGAAAATGTGAAGACGATCGTGGATCTGATCGAATATTATGAAAACAAGCATCAAAATAAAGTAATGTTGTTAGCGCTGGACGCGGAGAAAGCGTTCGACAACGTAAATTGGAAATTTTTTAAAATTATAATGAAAGAAATGGATTTGGGTTTTTATTTCCAAAATGCAATCGAGGCCATATATGAAGAACAAAAAGCAAATATTTCGGTGAATGGGAAAGAAACAGAGAATATTGAGATAAGGAAGGGAACAAGACAGGGATGCCCCCTATCGCCATTAATTTTTATCCTAACACTAGAAGTATTACTAAATAAGGTAAGAGAAGATAAAAGTTTGGTAGGTGCAAAGATACAAGGCCAGGAATTTAAAATTCGTGCATACGCAGATGATGTGATATGCGTAATTGAGGAACCAAAGAGTAATCTAGGAGAGTGGATAAAAACAATTAAAGAATTCGGTAAAGTTTCAGGATTTAAAATTAATATGGAAAAAACAAAGGCAATAATTAAAAATATTGGGAAAAATGAACAAGAAGAATTGAAAAATAAATGGAATATACAGATAGTAAACAAGTTAAAATATTTAGGGATAATACTGACATCTAGGAACCTACACCTATTACAAAACAATTATATAGAAAAGTGGAAGGAGGTAAAGAAGGACCTGGAAAAGTGGAAAAGCTTCAACCTATCACTACTCGGCAGGATAGCAACAGTGAAAATGGCAGTACTTCCAAAACTGATTTTTCTTTTTCAAAACTTACCTATAATAAGAAACAAGAAAACTTTAAAGGATTGGAACAAAGACATCAAAAAATTATTTGGAAAAATAAGAAACCGAGAATCAGCTATGACAATTTGACGGAAAAAAAGGAAAAAGGAGGGATGGCGGCACCGGATTTGGAGTTATATTTGGAAGCAAATGCATTAATTTGGGCTAAAGATTGGGCGAAATTGGAAAAGAAGAAATTATTAACACTGGAAGGGTTGGAGTTGCGAGAAGGTTGGCATACTTATGTATGGTACAAGGGGGGAAAAAAGAAAAAAAAATGGTAATCATTTTATAAGGTCAACAATTCTAAATATATGGGAAAAGTATAAAAAGAAATTGTATAACAAAACCCCGATGTGGGTATCCCCCTTAGAAGCGGGACAAAGACGGTGTACAGGCTGGCATGACTGGTTAAAATATAAAGATTTGTTAAAAATCGAAAGAGGAGAGGTGATTTTAAAATCACAAGAAGAATTAAACACAGTGGAACAGAAGGTGTCATGGTTAGAATAYTGGACGATAAAAGAAAAGTATAAGAATGACAAGAAGATTGGTTTCAATCAGGATAAAAAAATTGGGATAATATAATGGAGTCAAAAAGGAACTTAATAACAAAGATATATAAAAAGTTGCTAGAATGGAAAATGGAATCTAAAGGAGAAAAAAACTATAAAAAGAGGTGGAACGAAAATATTAGAAGAAACATAAAGCAAGAGGAATGGGAAAAAATTTGGAGAGAAAAGCTAAAATATTGTTATGCTACTGACTTGAAGGAAAATTGGTTAAAGACGGCACATCGCTAGTACATGACACTGAAAAAATTAGGAAAGAGCAATAAAAGTACCAGCACAAGGTGCTGGAAGTGTAAAGAAAAAGAAGGCTCATACTTCCACATTTGGTGGACTTGTAAAAAGGCAAAAAAATACTGGAGAGAGGTCCAGAAAGAATTACAGGAAATTTTACAAATCAAAATACCATGGAAGGCAGAATTATTTCTCCTAGGGATGCACGAATTGAAAATAGAAAAGAATACAGACAAGATTCTTTTTCTGATAACAACGGCAGCAAGGAAAACCTATTCCAGAAGATGGAAGCAAGAAGAAACACCAGATGAAAATGAGAGATTGACAAAAATTTTGGAAGTGAGGAATATGGATAGATTGACATTTTTAATAACAAGAAGTAAAGGAATGAATATGAAGGAAACAAACTGGGAAAAAGTGATGGAATATTTTAAGCAAAGGAATAAAAAGATCCTGATATAATCAAGAAAGAGTAGAAGGGAAGGAAGAGGAAGAGAAAGAATACGAGGAGAGAGGAAGGGGAAGAAGAGGGGAAGAAGGCTAGAAGAATGATAGAGAAGACCTTGTGAAGACCCCGGGAAGTTGAAAGCAAAAGTCTACTTTACTTAAATCTTTTAAAAAATTGGCTTTGGGCTATAAATCTTTTTTTTTTTGCTTTCTTTTCTTTTCTTCTTTTTCTTTCTCGTCTGTCCTATCTTACACACTATATCCTTTTTTGTTTCGGGAATATATTACATACACACATTCTACCTGTCTTTGGTAGCCTCGGCTACTAATCTATATTTTAAATGTATGTGGAAAATTGAATAAAGATTATTAAAAAAAGAAAACATTTCTTTGCTGTATTGTGTGCAAAAACAGTATCCTCAAAATTTGGTACTATGTACTCAAATCTTTTGCATTTCCATTTTTTTGCAGCTTGATTGTAAAAAATATCAAGTACATCAACAAGATCATCATCAACAACAAGCTCCAGTAAATTGCAAACGGAAAGGAGATCCAGTCTGTGGAACTGATGGCAAGACTTATATCAATGAATGTTTCCTATGTGCTGAAATCCTGTGAGTACTTGCAAAACTCATTTGTAAGGGTTGGTTAGATCATGAAGGGTGCTAAGCAATGCATATTTTTCAACAGAACTGCTTTCAGACAAAGTCAGACTGTAAGTAGACATAGACACACACCCATCCACACACACACACACACACACACACACACACATTCATATTATATGCCACCTTTTTCCTGAAGTAGGACCCAAATGAACTCACAAAAGGAAGTAACTAATATCTAAATATAAAACTATGAAAACAATTAAAACCATCCCATTACAACGGTATAAAATTATCTCATTTCTCCATTAATCAAATACATTTATGTAATTTCCGTGGATTTATTAGGTTGATTTAGATAATAGGAAATTGAGGATGTTTGGGCACACACTGCTCAAACCAGAATGAATACATCTAACAAGGAAACCAAGATTATCTGACTAAATATTTTTGCAATACACGAACATAAAACCAGATTACTATAATTGAGAGGAGGACAAAGCTAAAGGAACGCTACAGTTTTCAGTAACGAAAGTGGACTGCATTCAGAGTCCAGTCCATTGCCCAAGGGAAGGTTGATGAAATAATCATGGGTTTACACTTGGCTTCAGTTTTCCCCACATCAGGTCATTTCAACTTCTTGCTTTATCAAGACTTGTTGCAATATAATTAGGTCAACATAGTAAATGACATTACAAAGCGTTATCCAGCTTCAAGATGGATGACTAAGGATCTCATCTCAAAGGCCCTGGATTCACCATGTATTCACCACGTCCTGGTGTTTTCCATGATGGGCTCTGTGTTGAAAGTGGAGAGCAAGTGGTGTGTGACGGGCTAAGAATCACATCTGATGAGATCATAAGACTGAAGTTTTTCCGAAGCAATCAGTAGATACTATGCAGCTATTTTTAATTCTGTCTTGTCATATTATTTTTTTCTAGCCAAAATCAAAACTTAAATGTAAATGACACAACTGTTGAAAACTAAAAATGCTGCCATCTGGGCATCCATGATTGAGACATGACAATTACTTTGGAAAAACCGCATCTGTGGAACTGTCGCACAACTGGATGAACAACAGTTATAAAAAAGTGAAGAGTGTTCTAAATTAGTTGTTAAAAATAGCAGCTGACTAGTTGGGATTTATTTCAAATAGATTGGGACTGGTAAATTTTGGCTTCAATCAGATATTGTTGGATTGTAGGTATTGTTGGATTGCAGCTTCCAGCAGCTCTAACAAACAAGCCAATTGTGAGGATTGTCCAATCACCCAGCAGGTTGCTCATCTCTGTTACAAAGGGAAGAGAAGGTGTTGCCAGGCCTGGAGTGACAAGTTTTAATAGTCTATCCTGAGCACACTTACCTGGGAGCAAGCCACACTGGACATCAGGGGACTTACCACGGAAAATAAATGCACAAGACCATATGTTGCCACACTGCATTCTACCACCCCGCTGTTCAACTGTCTGCATTCCTGAGCTAGCAGAGGTGCATGGCACACTTTGGTCTTTGTTTTCTGTGTGGGATGGGATGATGATGTGATACAGTTCTGTTGTCATGGAGTGATCAAAGTGAAACTTTACCCAAGCAAGACAGAAATGTTTCTTGTCATTCAGAAGGCAGATTAGGGAATAGGGACTCAGCCTGTGCTGGGTGGGATTACACTCCCCTTGAAGATACAGCTTCACAGTTTGGGGATACTTCTGAAGCCACTGTTGAAACTGGTGGCTCTGAATTCCCTAGTGGCCAGTCGTGACTTTGTACATTTAAATCTTCTGCACCAATTGTGTCCATTCTTTGAGATGTGTGATCTGGACAGGCCTTCATTATCCCCTGGCTATAAGGAGTGCATAACCCCCATGTTGCAACAGCTCCACTGGCTGCCAGTCTGCAATTTATAGTGCTAATAGTAATAATAATGATAATAATAATAATAATAATAATAATAATAATAATAATAATAATAGTTTTATTTCTTTCCTGCCTCTCCGCACGGCTTTAGATGAGGTGCAGCATTACTAAAATATAAACAAACACACAATCCTTTTAAAACATTCAATAAAATACATATAATAAAACATATTTCCATAAATGCATATTAAAACATACAAAAAAACAGGCATACTGTGGAAGTTAAAAAATCATCATTAAAACTGTCTGGATAGGCCTGCTAGAAGAGATAGTTCTTCACTTGTATCTTAAATTCCAACAGCAGATCCCGTTGTCAGAGCTCTACTTACAGGTTGTTCTACCATCATGAAGCAGCAGGTGAAAAGGTACTCTGGGTGGTAGGTAGTTGCCAGTCTGGTTTTGGCTAGTTGAAGTAGCTGCCCCCCGGAGGACTGAAGAGTGCAGGATGGATTATACGAGAGAAGGTGATCCTTTAGGTAACCTGGACTCAAACCATGTAGGGCTTTAAAGATCAAAACCAAAACCTAACACATTGGTTTTGACCTATAAAGTCCTATCTGGTGAAGGTCCAGGCTGTTTGGCAGATTGTACCTCCTGGTATTAACCTGCCTGGGCCCTGGGATCCTTGAGAGACACCCTTCTCTCTGTCTCACTACCATTGCAATGCTTGGTTGTGGGAATGAGAGAGAATATCTTCTCAGTGGTTGCCCCACAACTCTGGAACTTCCTGCCCAGGGAAGCCAGAATGGCCCCTACTCAGCTGTCCTTCCAGCGGCAGGCTGAAACTTTTCCTTTCGGGCAGGTTTTAAAAGAAAAACACTTTAAAACCAAGTCAGGTGGTGTTGTGTGGTGTCTTTATGTATTTTAAATTGTTTTCATGATTTCAACTGTTTGTTTTTAATACTTCTGATGCTTTTTAAAAATATTTGTATGTATTTTAATTCACACCTTGTTATGGTTTTTACTAGGGCTGGGCGGTTTCGTTTCGTTAATTCGTAATTCGTTAATAATTCGTTAATTTTTTCAA